CATGCCAACTTTCCCCGATTTGCCAGTAAAGTCCGCTATCTCTGTCCTGGATACAATTCATGACCACCCTAGCAAGCTCTAATACTATGCAGCTGATGGTAAAACTAAGACTGGCTATGCTCATGACAGTCTTATTGCACAATGTCTGCACAAACTCCTTTGAATCTACCAAGACAATGTTGGAGTCTACCTTGACATGCATGCCGACTGACCCCAATTTACAGTGAAAGGGCATCTCTGCCCTGGATTCCATTCATGACCAGCCTGGCAAGCCCTTACACTACATAGCAGATGGTATTCATAAGGCGTCCCATGATTGCTTCCAAAAGGCAGCAGCCAGAGACCTAAACCTGTCTCTCCGACACCTTACCCCCAGTAGCCACAGAACCATCTAAAGGTTCAACCAGTCATGATTTCCTTCACTGGACATGCATCTTAACGTAGGTCCAGCACTGTTTTACACACTGATTCGATTGTACAATCTTGGTACAAACTCCTTTGGATCTACTAAAACTATATTGGAGTCTACCATGACATACCTGCCAACTGTCCCCGATTTGCCAGGAAAGTCCTGTATCTCTGTCTTGATTCAATTTATGACCAGCCAGACAAGCCCTCACACTACATACCAGATGGTATCCCTAAGGCGTCCTATGGTCGCTTCCAAAAGGCAGCAGCCAGAGACCTAAACCAGTCTCTCCAACACCTTACCCCCAGTAGCCACAGAACCCTCTGAAGGTTCAACCAGTCACGATTTCCTTCACTGGACATGCATCTTAACGTAGGTCCAGCACTGTTTTACACACTGATTCGATTGTACAATCTTGGTACAAACTCATGACCAGCCAGACAAGCCCTCACACTACATAGCTGATGGTATCCATAAGGCTAACCATGCACATTATAATCTTATTTCATGATCTTTGCACAAACTCCTTTGGATCTAACAAAACTATATTGGGGCCTACCTTGACATACATGCCAACTGTCTCCAATTTGCTGGGAATGTCCTACATTTCTGCCCTGGATTCCATATAAGACCAGCCCGGCAAACCCTCACATTATGCAGCTGATGGTATTCCTAAGGCATCCCATGACTGCTTCTGAGAGGCAGCAGCCAGCGACCTGAACCAGTCTCTCCAACACCTTACCCCCAATAGCCATGGAACCCTCTGAAGGTTCAACCAGTGAAGATTTCCTTCACCAGACATGCAACTTAACGCAGGTCCTGCACTGTCTTTAGATTATATTATCTCTGAACAAACTCCTTTAGAGTTACCAAAACTATATTTGGCTCTACCTTGACATACATGCCAACTGTCCCCGATTTGCCAGGAAAGTCTCACATCTCTGTCCTGGATTTAATTCATGACATGCATGCCAACTTTAATTCATGCCAACTTTAATGCATGCCAACTTTAATTCATGACATGCATGCCAACTGACCCCGATTTACAGTGAAAGGGCATCTCTGCCCTGGATTCCATTCATGACCAGCCTGGCAAGCCCTCACACTACATACCATATGGTATCCCTAAGGCATCCCATGATTGCTTCCAAAAGGCAGCAGCCAGAGACCTAAACCAGTCTCTCCAACACCTTACCCCCCGTAGCCACAGAACCCTTTGAAGGTTCAACCAGTCAAGATTTACTTCACTGGACATGCAACCTAATGCAGGTCCAGCTCTGTCTCACACACTCATTTGATTGTACAATCTTGGTACAAACTCCTTTGGATCTACTAAAACTATATTGGAGTCTACCATGACATACCTGCTAACTGTCCCCAATTTGCCGGGAAAGTCCTGTATCTCTGTCTTGATTCAATTCATGACCAGCCAGACAAGCCCTCACACTACATAGCTGATGGTATCCATAAGACTAACCATGCACATTATAATCTTATTTCATGATCTTTGCACAAACTCCTTTGGATCTAACAAAGCTATATTGGGGTCTACCTTGACATACATGCCAACTGTCTCCAATGTGCTGGGAAAATCCTGCATTTCTGTCCTGGATTCAATACAAGACCAGCCTGGCAAGCCCTCACACTATGCAGCTGATTGTATTCCTAAGGCATCCCATGACTGCTTCTGAGAGGCAGCAGCCAGAGACCTGAACCAGTCTCTGACACCTTACCCCCAATATCCACGGAACCCTCTGAAGGTTCAACCAGTCAAGATTTCCTTCACTGGACATGCAACTTAATGTAGGTCCAGCACTGTCTGTAGATTGTATGATCTCTGAACAAAACTCCTTTAGATCTACCAAAACTATATTTGGGTCTACCTTGACATACATGCCAACTCTCCCCGATTTGCCAGGAAAGTTTCACATTTCTGTCCGGATTTAATTCATGACATGCATGCCAACTTTAATGCATGCCAACTTTAATTCATGACATGCATGCCAACTGACCCCGATTTACAGTGAAAGGGCATCTCTGCCCTGGATTCCATTCATGACCAACCTGGCAAGCCCTCACACTACATAGCAGATGGTATCCCTAAGGCATCCCATGGTTGCTTCCAAAAGGCAGCAGCCAGAGACCTAAACCAATCTCTCCAACACCTTACCCCCAGTAGCCACAGAACCCTCTGAAGGTTCAACCAGTCACGATTTCCTTCACTTGACATGCAACTTAACGCAGGTCCAGCACTGTCTTACACTCATTAGACTGTATAATCTCTGAACAAACTCCTTTACATCTACCAAAACTATATTTGGGTCTACCTTGACATACATGCCAACTGTCCCCGATTTGCCAGGAAAGTCTCACATCTCTGTCTTGGATTTAATTCATGACCTGCCAGGCAAACCCTCATACAGTAAGGTTTATGATATCACTAAGGCTGGCCATACACATCACAGTCTTATTGTATATTTTTGCAGAAACCACTTTGAATCGCCCAAAACTACGTATATTGTAGTCTATCTTGACATTAAAGCCAACTTTCCCCGATTTCCCTGGAACCTCCCGCATTCTGTCCTGGTTTCAATACATGACCAGCCTGGCAAGCCTTCATACTATGTAGCTGATGGTATCACTAAGACTGGTTATGCTCATTACAGTCTTATTGTACAATTCCTGCACAAACTGTAGATCTACTAAAACTATATTTGGATCTGCCAACTGTCCTTGTTTGCCGAGAAGGTCCTACATCTCAGTCTCTTTTCAATTACAACTAGAGATAAGCAAACCTCTGAAAAGTTCAATAAGCTGGCTGAATTTTACAAAATTAATGAACCTCCGAAATTTGCAATTTCAAGTTCCATTAAAGTCAATGGAAATCTGAACCATGTTCAAAACGTGGGTATTAGGGCAATCATTGGTACAAATTTGGGCAGAATGGTTTGGGAATCCCCATGGAAGTTCCCAGCAGCCTAGTTAATTTCCTTAACCCCTTCCCACCCAGCTCCGGAGTCTATTTAACAGGGTCTTTATGCTCGGGGTTGGAAGGTCTGCCCAATCATGTTACCACTGGCTGGCTGTCACAGTAGTGGAGTTGGTCCCTCCAGCTCCTGACCATTACTAGAGACCAGGAGCTGTCGGTCACAGCTTGGTCAATGAGCTGGGAGCAAGCGTCCAAGTGAGCACTCTTTCAGCACAGAAACCTCAGTCACCGATTGGCTCATATGCAGGGGCGGACTGACCATTTGGAAACTCGGGCACTGCCCGAGGGCCGGGGTCAGTAGGGGCCCCATGAGATGCCCCAGGTATCTTTTTCATAGGCTTTTTTGAGTTTGGGCAAGGACACAGGGGCCCCATGATCCCCTATTTCCCGGGGGCCCCATGAGTTGTCAGTCCGCAGCCCCTGCTCATATGTGTGGTGCATGGGCGTTAAATCTCACCCTTTGCCACAGCACCTATTGATTACATGGATGGCAAGAGGTTAAAAAATTCTACCAGGGATACTGAGATAAAATGGTAGACCCTGGTGCGACTGAAGGGGGGATGGTGGGACTGAGGGACCTCAAGTTAAGGGTGCTCAAGCAACTTCAGATATAAGTCAAAAGACACCAATGGAGCAGCTTTTTGGTTCATTTTTCCCAGAACCTTTTTGGGAACCCAAACTTCCAAAAATAACCCTGAAATTTGAATAATTGAGATTTGGTGGAATCCAACATCAACCAAATTTTGGAATTGACTCTACTGTCCACTACCAATTCTTTCCAGGTGCATTCGATTGACAATGGCTGACAGCAGTGCGTTTTTTTTCCAGTCATCAGACTTCTCTTGAACCTGACAAGCTGGACAATTAAAGACAATACAGGAATGTTCTGTGCTGACAGATCAGTTTACAAATGAATTGCTGGGATGATGGTATCTTGAGGCCCTCCAGGCATTTCCACCTATTGAGAGACTTCTAAAATTGTAACTCTCTTAAAGGGGAAGAAGAAAAATCTCTGAATTCCTCTATTCATAGAAAAATCCCACTTAAAAAGTTGATAAAGCGTGACTCGGCTGATGAAAGATCGTGTTTTTCTAGCTGGATTCCGGGCATGCAGCTACATACCAACGTGAATACACTTGTGGGAGCTTTCTTTCCTGCTGAAGGCTTTGTAATGCTGTTCAGCCAGTATTGGAATTCACACATCCCTACCACACTGTATAGCAATGGTGGTCAGCCTATTAGATATGGAGGGGGGGGGGGGGGTTCAGGTGCAAACTACAGGAGATGGTAAGAGACTGCAGACGTGAGATGGTCAGAGACTGCAGACATACTACAGTAGATGGTCAGAGACTGCAGACATACTACAGTAGATGGTCATAGACTGCAGACATGGTACAGGAGATGGTCAAAGACTGCAGACATACTGTACTACAGGAGTTGGTTAGAGACTGCAGACATGCTACAGGAGATGGTCAGAGACTGCAAACATGGTACAAAGGATGGTCAGAGACTGCAAACATGGTACAAAGGATGGTCAGAGACTGCAGACATACTACAGGAGATGGTCAGAGATTGCAGACATGGTACAAAGGATGGTCAGAGATTGCAGACATACTACAGGAGATGGTCAGAGATTGCAGACATAGTACAGGAGATGATCAGAGACTGCAGACATACTACAGGAGATGATCAGAGACTGCAGACATGGTACAGGAGATGATCAGAGACTGCAGACATGGTACAGGAGATGATCAGAGACTGCAGACATGGTACAGGAGATGGTCAGAGACTGCAGACATGCTACAGGATATTATTATTATTATTATTATACAGTATTTATATAGTGCCAAAGGGTATGCTCAGCGCTGTACATTATAGTGGGGGACATAACATGAGACAAGACAGTAACAATACACTACACGAGGGGTTCGAGGGCCCTGCTCTTTCGAGCTTACAGTCTAGGAGGTCAGAGACTGCCGACATACTATAGGACACAGTCAGAGACTGCAGATATACTACAGGAGTTGGTCAGAGACTGCAGACAGGGTACAGGAGATGGTCAGAGACTGCAGACATACTACAGGTGATGGTCAGAGACTGCAGACATAGTACAGGAGATGGTCAGAGACTGCAGACATACTACAGGTGATGGTCAGAGACTGCAGACATAGTACAGGAGATGACCAGAGACTGCAGACAGGGTACAGGAGATGGTCAGAGACTGCAGACATACTACAGGTGATGGTCAGAGACTGCAGACATGGTACAGGAGCTGGTCAGAGACTGCAGACATAGTACAGGAGATGGTCAGAGACTGCAGACATAGTATAGGAGATGGTCAGAGACTGCAGACATGCTTACAGGACATGGTGAACAAAAACAAACAAGGGCACACACCTATCGTGCATTAACGTGGTACACAACGTATTTATTGAAAAATTATAGATATATACTGACAAACCAAAAGGGATAAAAACAGAACAGGTGATCCGTAAGGACAGTCCAATGGATTCAAACACCCTATAAGGGATAGGCTAACGCGTTTCGGGAGACGAACCCCCTTCCTCAGAGCTCAACGTTTGGCATTCAGAATTTCCTTTAGTCTGCATGAAGATTTGAGCGCTGGTTTCGTTTTGTTCTTTTGGATGCATATGCTTACAGGACATGGTCAGAGACTGCAGACCTACTACAGGAGACGGTCAGAGACTGCAGACATGGTACAGGGCATGGTCAGAGACTGCAGACATACTACAGGAGATGGTCAGAGACGGCAGACCTACTACAGGAGACGGTCAGAGACTGCAGACATGGTACAGAAGATGGTCAGAGACTGCAGACATGGTACAGGGCATGGTCAGAGACTGCAGACATACTACAGGAGATGGTCGGAGACTGCAGACCTACTACAGGAGATGGTCAGAGACTGCAGACCTACTACAGGAGACGGTCAGAGACTGCAGACATGGTACAGGAGATGGTCAGAGACTGCAGACATACTACAGGAGATGGTCAGAGACTGCAGACCTACTACATGAGATGGTCAGAGACTGCAGACCTACTACATGAGATGGTCAGAGACTGCAGACATAGTACAAGAGATGGTCAGAGACTACAGGCATGCTACAGGAGCTGGTCAGAGACTGCAGACATAGTACAGGAGATGGTCAGAGACTGAAGACATATTACAGGAGCTGGTCAGAGACTGAAGACATACTACAGGAGCAGGTCAGAGACTGAAGACATACTACAGGAGCTGGTCAGAGACTGCAGACATAGTACAGGAGAGGTCAGTGACTACAGACATGCTACAGGAGCTGGTCAGAGACTGCAGACATAGTACAGGAGCTGGTCAGAGACAGATTATATGTTATAAGCATTGATTGGAGACTGGAGAAATATTGCAGGAAACCATTGGAGACTGTTACATGCAGGGGTGGACTGACAACTCATGGGGCCCCCGGGCAATAGGGGATCATGGGGCCCCTGTGTCCTTGCTCAAACTCAAAAATGCCTATAAAAAAGGTACCAGGGGCATCTCATGGGGCCCCTACTGACCCCGGGCCCTCGGTCAGTGCCCGAGTTTTCAAATGGTCAGTCCGCCCCTGGTTACATGAGACTGCTAGATAACATTGCCATTACAGCCCCTTTACAAACCAATGCTGCACAGTAAGTTAAAAAGGAATGCATGCAGTCCTTGACCCTCACAGGAGGTAAACAATAGTACTTGGCCAAAAAATTCCAATCCTGCCAATCTCCAGTTCCCTTGACAGTGTCTGGAGTTTTAGTTTTATGAAAATAATAGAAGTTTATGACTGTAGCTGTTAGAAGGCTACAGTCAGGTTGAAACAATCACATGTCAGCTGTGCTCAACCCCCAAAAAAATGGTTGTATATCCACTTAGAGACCAAGAATTTTCTGGCTGGTTTTGTTTACAAGTTTAAGGATAGGTCCACACCTATGCAGTTCCGTTTCTGCAGTTTTTTTTATTATTTTTATTTTATTTTATTTTGTTAAGATTTTTTTTAGCAAATGACCTAAATAATGAAATGGTGATTGTTTCCATTTTTTTATGTCATATTTGCATATTTGCGCAGCAGTTTTTCAAACGCACTTTTTTGGGGGGAAAAAACACACTTTATTGAATTAAAAAAAAATACAAAACACAATATATACCCCAATTTGTTTGCAAAATATGGAAGATGATGTTTCGGTGAGTAAATAGATACATAACATGTCACGCTTGTTGGAGGGGTGACAAACTATGGTACTTAAAAATCTCCATAGGAGACGCTTTAAAAATGTTTTACAGGTTACCTGTTTAGAGTTACAGAGGAGATCTGGTGCTGGAATTATTGCTCTCGCTCCAACGTTCGCGGCGATACATCACACGTGTGCTGCGAACACTGTTTACATATGTGTGCTTGGCTTACGTATGTGTTCACTTCTGCGTGCGAGCATGGTGGGATGGGGGACGCTTTACCCTTTTTTTCCCCTATTTTTATTTTTACACTGTTTTTTTTTTTATCACCATTACATTACAATTTTTTTTATTTATTTATTTATTTATATATTTTTAAACTGTCCCTTTTTTTTTAATCACTTTTATTCCTATTATGCAATCATCCCTTGTAATAGAAATAATGATGACAGGTCCTCTTTAAGGATAGATCTGGAGTCAAAAAGACCCTAAATCTCTCCTATACCTTTAAAAGCAAAAGATCAAAAAAATTTTTAAATCTTTTGCTTTAAGAAAAAATATTTACATCTTCCCCAGACCGGAAGGGACGTCATGACGTCACTTCGGTCCTCCAAGGCCATAGAGGCGATCTGAGACAATAGAGTCTCTCATCGCCTCTGTGACCAGCCAGCTGCACTATCAGATCGTTTTTTCGGTCGCGCCGGTTGAAACGATAAGCCCGAGAAACACTGGCGAGTGGTGGTGGGGGGTGAGATGTCCCCTCCCGATCCTGAAAGCAATCCAGTGGCTACTGAGCTGCTCAGACTGCTTTCATGAGAAAGCCGGATGCAAAAAAAAAAAAAGATACCAGGGTTGTGGCTAATATCTTCAGCCATAGCCCCAGTAAACCACAACATACGGTATATATACGTGTTGCAGTTGGCAAGTGGATATTCCAAACCCTAAACCTCTTCTTTTTTAAACACCCCTTATTCACCCCTGTAGCTATAGGCATTGTGAAGATATTCATCTTCGAAAGTTTACACCAGAGGCAATGAAATCATATCTTTTTTTCTCTTTACTTTCTAGAGCTGAAACCTGGCAGCCTGCAAGATATCTAATGACTCTAACGAAGTCAAGGGTCCTGCACAAAACCCCAACCTAGACCCAAGCCTACTGAGCACCTTTGGGATGAATTGGAACACAGATTGCAAGCCTAGTCATTCCCATCCAACATGACTAAGAACTCAAGGGTCCTGCACAAAGCCCCAACCTCAAGCCTACTGAGCACCTTTGGGATGAATTAAAACACAGATTGCAAGCCTAGTCGTTCCCACCCAACATGACTAAGAACTCAAGGGTCCTGCACGAAGCCCCAACCTCAAGCCTACTGAGCACCTTTGGGATGAATTGGAACACAGATTGCAAGCCTAGTCATTCCCATCCAACATCCAACTTGACTAAGAACTCAAGGGTCCTGCACGAAGCCACAGCCTCAAGCCTACTGAGCACCTTTGGGATGAATTGGAACACAGATTGCAAGCATAGTCGTTCCCATCCGACATCCAATTTGACTAAGAACTCAAGGGTCCTGCACGAAGCCCCAACCTCAAGCCTACTGAGCACCTTAGGGATTAATTGGAACACAGATTGCAAGCCTAGTCATTCCCATCCAACATCCAACTTGACTAAGAACTCAAGGGTCCTGCACGAAGCCCCAGCCTCAAGCCTACTGAGCACCTTTGGGGTGAATTGGAACACAGATTGCAAGCCTAGTCGTTCCCATCCAACATGACTAAGAACTCAAGGGTCCTGCGCAAAGCCCCAACCTCAAGCCTACTGAACACCTTTGGAATGAATTGGAACACAGATTGCAAGCCTAGTCGTTCCCATCCAACATCCAACTTGACTAAGAACTCAAGGGTCCTGCACGAAGCCCCAGCCTCAAGCCTACTGATCACCTTTGGAATGAATTGGAACACAGATTGCAAGCCTAGTCGTTCCCATCCAACATGACTAAGAACTCAAGGGTCCTGCGCAAAGCCCCAACCTCAAGCCTACTGAGCACCTTTGGGATGAATTGGAGCACAGATTGCAAGCCTAGTTGTTCCCATCCAACATGACTAAGAACTCAAGGGTCCTGCGCAAAGCCCCAACCTCAAGCCTACTGAGCACCTTTGGGGTGAATTGGAGCACAGATTGCAAGCCTAGTCGTTCCCATCCAACTTCAGTGGCTGACCTCATAAATGGACACCAACTGCAAGCCAGGCCATCCAATATCAGTACCTAACCTCGTAAATGGTGGCCAGCTCTATGAAGACATAGTATGATGAGTTTGATATGGAGGATCTCAAGTGGGCTCCAAAGAGCCCTGACCTCAACTCTCCTGGCCACCTTTTGGATGAAACTGAACTCCAATTGTGAGCCAGGTCTTCTCATCCAACATCAGTACCTGACCTCATAAATGGTGGACAGCTCCACAAGCACATGGTTTGATCAGTTGGGTATGGAGGAATACAACTGTCTTGTACAGAGCCCTGACATTAAACCTACTGAACACCTTTAGCATAAGTTGGAACACCAGCTGCAAGCCAGGCCATACAATATCAGTACCTAACATCATAAATGGTGGCCAGCTCTATGAAGACATAGTATGATGAGTTTGATATGGATCTTCTCAAGTGGGGTCCAAAAGAGCACTGACCTTAACCTTCCTGGACACCTTTGGGATGAACCTGAACTTCAATTGTGAGCCAGGTCTTCCCATCCAACATCAGTACCTGACCTCATAAATGGTGACCAGCTCCATAAAGACGTGGTTTGATGAGTTTGATGTAGAGGAACTAAAGTGTCTTGCACAGAGCTCTGACCTCAGCCCTACTGAAACCCCATTTAGGAGTCAGATCATCTCCTTCAACATTAGTACCTGACCTCACAAATGCTCTTTTGACCAATTGGTCACAAATTCTCACTGCAACATTTTTTGGTAAGCCTTCCAAGAAGAATGTGGGCTGTTATAACCGCAAAAGTGGAACCAGCTCCACATTAATGGTTTGGAATGAGATGTCCAACAAACATCATATAAGTGTGATGGTCAGGTGTCCACAATTTTTACATTTATAATAGAAAATAAGGTTCCAAGGTTTGACGTGCACTGAAGATTCTAATGCTGTCATGGTGGTAGATGCGAAGGGAAAGTTTATTACAGCACTGTTGGCTTTCTGGAGAATGATCACCATCTGGTGGCAGATCTCCAAAGTGCATGTTTAAACACTGTCAGCTCACCGTGAGTACAGGTAGGCCCGAAGCAAAAAAAAACAAATTGCCGCAGGATCGAAATGACTAGGGGGAATAGAGGGACAACAGAGGGTTAAATTATGGGAAGGAAGTTTTGGGGATTAAGGCTTTTCTTATTGGATGGGGGATGTTGGGGAGGGTCTCCTAAGGAGGAAAAGGAGGGTCTATCCTCAAGAAGTCCAGTGGGGGAAGTTTGGAAAAGAAGAAGCTTCCCACTCTCTCTCTCCCTTTGTGCTTTGGTTTGGATTGTCACGGCGGCCTTGGCGGTGGTTGTTCTATGAAGGAGGAAAAAATTCTGTATGGAGACAGATTCGGGACCCATAAGTGGTATGGGTACCTTGGTACATTCCAGTTAACAAGGGGTTAACTCGGAATAGGTGAAATGGTGGTCACTGCGGATAAGTAGGGTTAACCCAGAGCCGGTGTGTTGCAGCTGGGGATAAGTAGGATTGTCCCTGAGCCGGTGTGTCAGAGATCCAGGTATGACCAGAAATGTGTGGACTGACACAGGGAAGTAGCAGGCTTCAGGAACACAGGCGTAGTCAGGGCTGGAGAGGTGGAATGGTCAGGCGCGCCGTAAGGTACTGTCAGGCACCGCCCGGTGGGATCTCTAGTGACCCACAGAACAGGATTCCCCAGGGCGCGGAGTCTAAGCTCCAGTCTGCCTTTTCACCAGAGCCCCTGATGTTGGGGATGGACTTGGCGCAGGACTGAGACCAGGTCGCGGCCCCTGAGTGCACCCAACTGTGGTAGAGGGGTCCGCCGAGGGTATGTACCGGGGGAAAGCCTGATGTGAAGGGGCTGGCAGGTTTGGACAGTAGTGACTGGATCCGTGCGGGATGGATGGATCATCTGGGTAGCGTCAGGCGTAGTCAGGCAGGCCAGGTCAGCAACGTGCGGGCAGTGAGGTACCGGAGGAGCAGGCAGAGAATAGTCAGGGTCAAAAGCCAGGTTCAGTAACTCACGGGCAGTGCGGTACAGTGGATCAGGCAGAGAATGGTCAGGGTCACAAGCCAGGTTCAGTAACTCACGGGCAGCATGGTACAGAGGATCAGGCAGCAGGATGGTCAGGCAAGCCAGGGGTTAAACAGGAGACAGTCAGCAGGGTCAGGAACAATGCAGAGTCGGCAACAAATCAGATAGGCAGAGGAACACAGGGTACAGGGGCTCATGGTAAACAACACCAAGGCACTGACTACAGGTCTGGCCATTCCTTAAATACCCCTCCTGCAATCAGCCTCAGTTGATGGCTGCCTGCAGGAGTGAGCTTCTCATTGCTGAGAGCACCCGCTGGCCAGCCCTGGTACTGCAGCCCACACGGCAGGTGAGTCCCACCACCAGTGCTGAGTCCATTCCTGACACGGTGTGTTGCGGCTGAGGATAAGTAGGATTGTCCCCAAGCCGGTGGGTTGCGGCTGGGGGCCTAAGTCGAAGGAATGTTTTCGGCAAAAGTGAAGTTGGGTTTATGGCCCTCAAATGACCACCACATTTTCATCTGTTTATAATCTGGAATGTTATATCTATGTTAAAATAATTTATTGGTTAATAAAAGGCTGCTATGGTCATTTTGACTGCAGAAACGTGTTTGTGTATTTTGTATAGCTGGGATGGTAGAGGGTATGGCCTAGCAGGTTTGGTTAGGTTGGAAGGCGTATATTCTACCCTTGTCATCATACGACTGGTGATTGCCACATCCAACGACATCCTGGCCTGCATAGGCAGAAACTGGGTTTACCGGTTTATCTGCGGCTCAGTGCCATCAATTCCTCTCTTTCAGAGTATCATAGCAGGCTTGGCAGCTCGCCTCTATAATTATTTATTATTATCATCGTGAAAGTGTGTATAATATTTGTTCATACTTATCCACACACTTACAAGATTAGAAGGCCAGGCAGAAGGCCAGACATTTAAAGGAAAAAAAAAAAATGATAGGTGAAAGCTTTTAAGCCAAGATCCAGACAAAATGGTTTTTAAGCTTCGAGTGCAATAAGGAGGTTTATACCCTATCAGGGGCGGACTGACAACTCATGTTGCCCCCGGGCAATAGGGGATCATGGGGCCCCTGTGTCCTTGCCCAAACTCAAAAAAGCCTATGAAAAAGGTACCAGGGGCATCTCATGGGGCCCCCTACTGACCCCGGGCCCTCGGGCAGTGCCCGAGTTTCCAAATGGTCAGTCCGCCCCTGTACCCTATTGATAGGTGTCAAGCAAATTATTAATCAAAGTTCTATACTTTCTGCCTATTTTGCAGGATTCATACAGAAAAGGTAATGAGGAAAAGTGTCCTCACTCCATGTTTTTTGTAGCACTCGGAAGCTGCTAGAACCTCAAGCCTCAACCTCAATCTTAACCCTACTGAACACCTTTGGGATGAATTGAACACAGATCGAGTGCCAAGTCTTCTCATCCAACATCAGTATCTGACCTTATAAATGGTGGCCAGCTCCATAAAGACAAGGTTTGAGCAGATGGTATGCAGGAATTCAAGTGGCCTGCACAGAGCCCTGACCTCAACTTACTGAACACATTCATACAGAAAAGAGAGTAAGGCTGTGTCCTCACTCCATGTTTTTTTTGTAGCACTCGGGAGCTGCTAGAATTTTTGGGTCTTCCTAGCCTTTCCACTAGTGATCTAACCTACAGCTGCCTCAAAACACTCACAATCAGCAGCCAAAAACCAGATGTCTATTCCATCCATCTTCTTCCACGAGTGGTAACCAAAAGCAGATATTCGCTCCATCCATTTTCTCCTTCTCCAAACATTTATTGCTACAGTGTCCAAGGGAGTGAAAGATGGGGTAAAGGGTACCAAAATACAGCAACAAAAGTCCATCCCCTCGAATCTTTGTTTATACCACAGGCACATAACTGGGTAGAAGCTACCGTGAAATATCTTCAGCCTCTCACTATTAGTGGACCTTTGGCCGAGACCAGCAATGGACTGAGCAGAACATTTCTGAATGTGCTCCCACACATTCTCCTCATCTGACTTGACCAGATGTTGTGGAGGAACTCAAGCGGCCCTGACCTCAACCCTACTGAACACCTTTGGGGTAAATTGAACACAGATCGAGTGCCAAGTCTTCTCATCCAACATCATTACCTGACCTTATAAATGGTGGCAAGCTCCATAAAGACATGGTTTGACCAGATGGTATGAAGGAATTCAAGTGGCCTGCACAGAACCCTGACCTTAACCTACTGAACATATTCATACAGAAAAGAGAGTAAGACAAAGTGTCCTCACTCCATGTTTTTTGTAGCACTCGGGAGCTGCTAGAATTTATGGGCCCTCCTAGCCTTTTCACCGCTGATTTGGCCTACATCTATCTCAAAACACTCACAATCCTGGAGTGGTAACCAAAAGCAGATATTCACTCCATCCACTTTTTCCTTATCCTTCTCCGAAATTTTATTGCTTCAGTGTCCAGGGGAGAGAAGGATGGGGGAAAAGGGTACCAAAAAGAGCAACAAAAGTCCCTCCCCTTGAATCCTTGCTTATGCATAAAACTGGGTAGACCAGACAGCTACCTTGAAATATCTTTGGCCCCTCTTACAGAATAGTAGTGGACCTTAAATCCAAGACTGGCAATGGACTGAGCAGAACTCTTCTGAATGTGCTCCCCCTTAGTAGTCACCTTCCTGTTTTCTCAGGCCCTGGCATAGACCACCTTACAATCCATGGGCCTTTGGCCTTAGAACTGAGACCTCCTCAGGCAGCAGGCCTGAGAATGCTATGGCTGGATCCCTCACACACTCACATTCTCTCCAGGCAAAGCCCTTCTAGAAGGTCTATCCAAAAATGTTTCTACTTCTGAGGTCAGGGCCACTTGAGTTCCTCCACAACACCTGGTCAAACTCTGATTCGAGCATGGACAGGATGGTGGGGGGGGGGCGGTGATTGTGCACCCACCCTTGCTCATGAAATATACCAGGCTATATGCCCTCAACATGTGGGGTAGATTGCAAGGACTTACCTCCCTGGCCAATCACCTTGTCCCCATGTAGATGAGGACAGGGTCCCGCAACCCTGGCCTGATAATAGCGGGGGTCTGGGGGGCCTATTGTAATCTGGAAGTCCTGAGCATACCTGGGTTTGGCTCCTCTGTACTGGAGAACACTCAACGGTCGGAGGCTGAAGCTAAAAACACTCACAATCCTGGAGTGGTAACCAAAAGCAGATATTCACTCCATCCACTTTCTCCTTCTTCTCCAAACTTTTATTGCTTCAGTGTCCAGGGAAGAGAAGGATGGGGTAAAGGGTACCCCAAAAACAGCAACAAACGTCCCTCCCCTCGATCTTTGCTTATGCATAAACCTGGGTAGACCAGACATCCCAAAGGTGTTCAGTAGGGTTGAGGTCAGGGCCACTTGAGTTCCTCCACAATATTCTGGTCGAACTCTGATTCGAGCATGGACAGGATGGAGGGGGGGGGGGGGGTGAATATGCGCCCACCCCTGCTCATGAACTATACCAGGCCATATGCCCTCAATATGTGGGGTAGATTGCAAGGTGTTACCTCCCTGGCAAAGCACGTTGTCCCCATATTGATGAGGACAGGGGCCTCTTTCCCGCAACCCTGGCCTGATAGTAGCGGGGGTCTGGGGGGCCTATTGTAATCTGGAAGTCCTGAACATACTTGGGTTTGGCTCAACCCTACTGGTGGAGAACACTCAACGGCAGCAGGCCAACGCAACAATGTCCTGGGCTTTGGGAAAACCCAACAAACCCAGAACTCAGGCTGGCAACAGCTAGCTGCACAAAGCTTAAGATAAGGACACCCTACGGACAGGTGTCAGATCGAACAAGAACTGAGGAAATAACTCATCACATTGCACCTACTTGATGAATAGCAGTAAAATGGGAAGAGAGAAAAAAAAACCCTACTTCTTGAATATTTGACAAAGTTTTTTTCCCAATAGGGACACCTACAGCCACAGAGAAGGGGGAAAATCCCTGCCAGGTCTTTATTGCTATCTGTGTCCCCCTGTTGGAGATTTCTCTCATTTCCTGTCCAGGAATTTTTTTTTTTTTTTGCTTTATCGGCAAACTACATTCTAAACAACAACCAAGAAAAGCTGTTTGAGCATTGTAGACATGGCAATGGTATACCCAAAAACAGGTATACATCATGACTCAGTACTGTGGACACGCATAGATATGCCTCCTTTCTCCTACTTGATGCGCAAAGGACCAATCGCTGACACTTGAGGGCCTCCCTATGCAAACACTGACTTTCAGAAAGTCTGTATCCGTATGGGATTTTCACAGGGCTGTACAGGGGCGGACTGACAACTCATGGGGCCCCCGGGCAATAGGGGATCATGGGGCCCCTGTGTCCTTGCCCAAACTCAAAAAAGCCTATGAAAAAGGTACCAGGTGCATCTCATAGGGTCCCCTACTGACCCCGGGCCCTCGGGCAGTGCCCGAGTTTCCAAATGGTCAGTCCGCCCTTGGGGCTGTAACAATGGATCGTGCTTCTAAGGTAAGAGCGGGCTGCTGTTCATTTCCTATATTAGTTTGGTCTTTGATACCTACATGGAAGAAAAATATATTTGAAATATATTTTAAAAATATTCTTCCCAAATATATTGTCATATATTTGAAATGGTACAATTTTGTCCATATTCAATATATTACAAAATATATTTCAATAAATAAATAAATGTATATATATACAGTATATTTTTACAAATATTTTTGCATATATTTTGTAATAAAAACGCATTTCAACATGCAGTATATATATATATATATATATACTGCATGTTGAAGTGCGTTTTTATTACAAAATATATGAAAAAATATTTGTAAAAAATATACTTCATTCCAAATATACTGTATGTCTTTAAAAACACAAATCTACATTTTTGGAATGCATTTACAAATATATGTAAAACTATATGTTAAAATGACTTTTTTATATGTTAAAAAAAAATCTGAAAATATATTCTTCTGATTTTTTCCAACAGATAAAAAAGTCATTTTAACATATAGTTTTACATATATTTGTAAATGCATTCCAAAAATGTAGATTTGTGTTTATTTAAAGACATACAGTATATTTGGAATGAAGTATATTTTTTACAAATATTTTTTCATATATTTTGTAATAAAAACGCACTTCAACATGCAGTATATATATATATATATATACTGCATGTTGAAATGCGTTTTTATTACAAAATATATGCAAAAATATTTTTAAAAATATACTGTATATATATACATTTATTTATTTATTGAAATATATTTTGTATACAGTATATTTGAAAATGTATTTTTAAAAATATATTTAATATGTTTTGTAATAAAAACACATTTCAACGTACAGTATATATATATAGTTACATAGTTAGTCTGGCTGAGAAAAGGCAAAAGTCCATCCAGTTCAACCAAAGGAAAAAAAAAATATATATATATATATATATATATATATATATATATATACTGTATATATATATAATGTGTGTATATATATAAATATATATATATAAATATACACTACATGTTGAAATGCATTTTTATCACAAAATATCTGAAAAATATTTTTAAAAATACATTTCAAATTTACAGTATGTCTTTAAAAACACAAATCTCCATTTTTGGAATGCATTTACAAATATATGTAAAATATGTTAAAATGACTTTTTTATGTTAAAAAAAAAATCTGAAGAATATATTTAAAAAATATATTTTTTTAAAATATATTTCAAATATATGTTTCTTCCATGTGGGTGGTGTCACGGCTACATTTTCAGGGTATTTCAGATTTTTTTTACATATAAAAAAGTCATTTTAACATATATATTTACATACATTGGTAAATGCAAAAAAATATTTTTTCATATATTTTGTAATATATATATATATATATATATATATATATATATATATATAATATATATTTTTCTTCCATGTGGGTAACCTTAGCACAAGTTTTCTTTAATAGTGGGTGGTCGTCAAGGTTCTATTGCATGCAGGGGCGGACTGACCATTTGGAAACTCGGGCACCGCCCGAGGGCCTGGGGTCAGTAGGGGGCCCCATGAGATGCCCCTGGTACCTTTTTCATAGGCTTTTTTGAGTTTGGGCAAGGACACAGGGGCCCCATGATCCCCTATTGCCCCATGAGTTGTCAGTCCGCCCCTGATTGCATCACCTAGTTCTGTCGGTGTGACATGTTTCAGTTACTGGGAGATAGAAGAGGAGAGCTTGAGGCAGCTTGCAGGAGGGCAGCACAGGTAGGTATTCATCAGTGTGAGCATGCTCATTAAATGTCCAATGAGGGGATAGAGACTGAGGGCTGGCATAGGAAGCTGCAGCGTGGCAGAGCTGCCTGGATCGCAAGGCTAGCTGGACAGAACTGCAAAACCTCGGGCAGGTAAAACCTTTCTAATATTTGTATTTCAACTGATGCAGCCTTTCTGTCTGGAGTTCCTCTTTAAGATATCTTGCAGCGTGACCGAGCTTGTGGCATTTGCAATTTTCAGCAACGTAACTGTAATGCAGCAGAATGAGTCAGCCGTGTCTATCAGCGTGTTTGTAGGAGCAGCAGAATGCAAACATTATTTGAGGAGGAAAAATGCAAAGTCTGCAACAAAAAAAAAAAAGAAAAAGCCTAGATAGCCAAGGCTTTGCTCCATCTAATAAGTAATAAAAAGGAACACTCACTGTCTGTCAGCAGGCCTGGACATTTCGGTTGTAGGCCGGGCAGACAGGCTGAATCGGCAACTAACTAGTGACAAATGATGACTCTCCTTTAAAAGAAAATTTTTTATATATGTATAAAAAAAAAAACAATATATATGTCATTTTCATACACTTTATTTTTCTGTATTTTCCCAATAAAAAAAATACAATGTCTAAAAATATTTCATATGAAATTGAAAAAATACTTTTAAATTATTTAAATTATACATTTTAAATAATTAAATTATATAGTATTATATTTTATTTTATCATCATTTTATTTTTAATTTCATTTATTATAGATATTTGTGTGTATTTATTCTAGAAAAAATAAAATATTCAATAAACATATTTTAAAAGAACATTTTTTTTTATATATATGTAAAAAAAAAAAACAATATATATGTCATTTTCATACACTTTATTTTTCTGTATTTTCCCAATAAAAAAAATACAATGTCTAAAAATATTTCATATGAAATTGAAAAAATACTTTTAAATTATTTAAATTATACATTTTAAATAATTAAATTATATAGTATTTATATTTTATTTTATCATCATTTTATTTTTAATTTCATTTATTATAGATATTTGTGTGTATTTATTCTAGAAAAAAAATAAAATATTCAATAAACATATTTTAAAAGAACATTTTTTTATATATGTATAAAAAAAAAAAAATATATATGTCATTTTTATACACTTTATTTTTTTTTCTGTATTTTCTCAATAAAAAAAATACAATGTCTAAAAATATTTCATATGAAATTGAAAAAATACTTTTAAAAATGATTTAAATTATACATTTTAAATAATTAAATTATATAGTATTATTTTTATTTTATCATCATTTTATTTTTAATTTCATTTATTATAGATATTTGTGTGTATTTATTCTAGAAAAAATTTAATTATCAATAAACGTAATTCACATTTACCATTTGTAGTAAGTAGAGGGAGCTATAGTCAACCTATTGCTTCCTGATGGCTCTTATTTAGGGATGTTGCCCTAAGAAAAGGCCATACATTTTATTTTTAGGCATTTTTCCCAACAACAAAAATACAATGTCTAAAAATATTTCATATGAAATTGAAAAAATATTTTAAATTATTTAAATTATAGTATGTAAATTATGAAATTATATAGTATCAGATTTTATTTTTAATTTAATTAATTATAGATGCTGCCCTAAAAAAAGGCCATAATTGCTCAGAGAAATATGATCCTCCCCTCTAACGCTCGTAGATGAAATGGAAAAGTCTTTGGATTTACACCATTCTGCTGCATTAATGGGCTGTGCCAATTCACACTGTCCTGCTGTGGTAATGGGTGGGGCCAGTTTACATTGTCCTGCTGCAATAATGGGTCCGGTAGGTCCACACTGTCCTGCTGCGGTAGTGGGTGGGGCTGATCCACACTGTCCTGCTGCGGTAACGGCTGTGGCCAGTTCAGTGTCCTGCTGCAGTAATGGGTGGAGCTGGTTCACACTGTTCTGCTGCAGTAATGGGTGGGGCCAGTCCACACTGTCCTGTTGTAGCAATGGGTGGACCTGGTTCACACTGTCCTGCTGCAGTAATGGGTGGGGTCAGTCCACACTGTCCTGTTGTGGTAATGGGTGGGGCCAGGTCACTGTCCTGCTGCAGTAATGGGTGGGGCCAATTCACACTGTCCTGCTCTGGCAATGGGTGGACATGGTTCACACTACCCTGCTGCTGCAGTAATGGGAAGGGGGGGGGGGGGGGGGTTGGTCAACACTGTCCTGCGGCGCTTTCAAATGCCACTTTATGCATTGACATGCCTCCTTAGACCCAGTCTGTCTGGACAATATGGTCCCTTGTTGACTTGTCACTATCCACAGGCAACTTAACTCTTCAATAAGACACAGAAGTTGAATCCAATGAAAATCTACTTCAGACAAATGCAGTGCGAGGGATGTTTTTTGCAGTATCTGTAAGAAAACATTGACTTTTTGAACCCTTGTCTCTGTGAATAACTAACACTGACTGACTGAGGGAACACTGAAGAAGTGGGGAGGGTCTAGCTAAGACTAAACCAACTAGCACTAAACAGGAGGGGAGGACAGAGGAAGATACCAAAATCACAACAGTAAAAAAAACAGTTGTTTTGGCCAGAATCCACCACTAGACATCGGCATGCTACAAAAAAAAAAAAAGATAAACCTCATGTTGTTCAATACTAGACATAAATAATACATGACAGTGGGGCAGAACACCCTTGATGGTGTCTGAAGATAGCAGAACTGAACCTTCAATTCGAATCAGCAAAATACATTCCAGGGGTATCAAAAATGGCTTTAG